ACCAGTTGCTTTAAAAGTATAGAATGCTTCAGTGAGGAGAAGTGTTTGAGATGATTTTACAGAAATCTAATCATTTTGAAGATTGGTCAGAGAATCTAGTGATTTATTTAAATTCATTTTTACCCCAAATTTTCAGTTCTATTTCTTACATGGATCAGGAAAGGGGGCCTAGTAGGCTGTGTGTTGAGAGTCTCCTTGTAGACAGGTGAAATTCCTTTGGGACAGCTTTCTAAAAGAGGCAGGCATTTAGGGCTGGACTTGGAGCAGTGGGTGTGGAGGAGAGACTGGGGTATCCTAGATATGGATGAAAATGTACTGATTTCTACAATTCCTTTTCTTTTCTTTTTTGTTTTTCTAAAGTTAAAGCATAGATTTTGTCCCCTTAAGAGGTTAAAACGACAACAACAACAACAACTTTTTTCCACCAGAGCATACCAGATAGATTGTATTTGCACTCATTCCTTGCCCCAGGGTGTTCTTGGTTCTCCTGAGAACTGGACGTACAAGTAACTGTGGATTTTGTGCGGCTCCCTAAGCTCAGCTCTGAGGCCAGCCCGTTTTCGTCTTTATTCTATCTTAATGTGAAATGAAGCAGAGAGTATCATTCGTTTTGGACAGTAGGGTAAAAACTTGAGGGGAAATCCTCATATTTTTCTTAATGTTCTAATTTGGGTTAGCATGCATTAAGTGTATATATGAATGTAGTTCAGCATGACAAGACGACGAAGCACCCCTGGAAGCCGCTCCCCCACACGCTAGCCTTGGAATGTGCTGATGGTGTCCTTTTCCAGGCATCCAACTCACCACTGGAAGCCCAGCCTCAATCACTGCTGGAACACAGAGTGATTTTATTACCCGGTGTCTCTCAATGAGAGCAAATAGAAGCTGAGGTATAGCATTCCAGCTTCTTGGCCCCCAAGTTGGACAGATAACCCAGATGTAAATTCTACCCTGTTCCCTGATTTCCTGCAGGACTGAGCCTCGGTTGTCTACACAGACTTTTTACAAAGGACTGCACTGTGTCATGCACTTGGTCTGTTTCACTTCTCCTCTCCCAGTCTTTCCTGGGTTTGACATCTAGAAGGCCTCTTGTCCTCCTATCTAAGGCTCTGCTTTTGGGGTGCTCAACCTAAGATATCATCCTCAAAATCCCAAGATGTTCAAGTGGTCTGGGCAAAAATTAATCATTGTGGTTGTTATCTGAAATATCTCCCAAAGAGCTCATTGTGTTGAAGGCTTGGTTGCCAGCTGATGGGCTTCTGAAATGACTGGATTACAAAGGCTCTAACTTCATCAGTGAATGAATTCATTTATGGGATCATAGCTTGATGGCATTATTGACAGGTGAAGGAAATGGGGCAAGGGGCTCATTTGACGGAAGTGGCTCATGGAAGTATGACCTTGGGGAATAAATCTAGTCCCTGCCCTTTCCTCTCTGGCTTTTTCCACCCCCTGTACTTCCCAGTTGCCATGAGGTAAGACATATTGCTCCTACCACAACCTCCTGCTGTGCTGTTCTGCCTCACTTCAGGTGCACAGCAATGGGACCATCTAGTCGTGGGTTGAAACCACAAAAACCTTGAGCCAAAAGTAAATCTTTTCTCCTCTAAGTCATTTTTCTCAGGTACTTCTGTCGCAGTGAGTAAAAGCTAATTCACGCCATGATTCCTTTTTTAGGGAGAAGTTCTTTATTTTGAATTTCTCATAGAATGCCCTTTTAGAAATTGAAACAGCAATAATGCAGTCAGCCCTCAGGGTCTGTGGGTTCTGTATGTGTAGATCCAACTAACTGTAGGGAGAAAATATTCGGAAAAAAATGGTCTACACTGAATGCACACAGGATTTTTTCTTATCATTATTCCTTAAACAGTGTAGTCTAACAACTATTTACATGGCACATACATAGTATTAGGTATTAAAAGTAATCTAGACATGATTTAAAGTACAGGGGAGGAGGTGCACATGCAAATATTATGTGCAAATATGCCATTTTATACCAGGGACTGAGCAGCCATGGATTCTGATATCCTTGAGAATCCTGGATCATTTCCCCATGGATTCTGAGAGTTCACATTAGTTCACATTAGTTGTATGGCAAAACAAAGAAACAGGCATAACAGTCCAGTCAATGGAATGCAAAGCACCTGCCTCCCTGCCTCCCCCATCTGTCTTCCTAAAGGCAGCACCATTAATAGGTTGACGTTCATCTTCACGGTTCCCTCCCTTGTCTTCTATAAGTCTCTACCCAGCCTTCGCAAGGAAGCTTTTTTCTGCGCATCTTATTTAAAGTTGCATCTTTCTTGGTCTTCTCTGGTTTATTTTTCTGCATTTCGCTTTGCACCGTGTGGCACATCACAAATTGCACTTTACTGCTTGTTGCTGTTCTTCTCCATTAGCACAGAATCCCCACAGGGCAGAGGATTTTGTCTGCTTTGTTCACTGCTGCATTCTTGGTGCTCGGAACGGTACCTAACATGCAGCAGTTGCTCAGCAAAACTTAAGTTGAATGAGTGCATAAATGTGATACCTCTTCCCTCCCCACCTCTGAGTGCACAGCCTTCTGCCCCTTATGTTTGCATTTAATAATCTTGGGGATTGCTTTTCCCTGAACGTAGAGAATCAATTCATTCTCCTAAATACCTGATCAACTTTTAGATTATTTCTAGTCATCAGCTGTTGTACACAGTGCTGCAGAGTATTCTATACCTTTGGTCACAAGGGTGAGTATATTTGCAAAGCGAGTTCCTGAAGTGGACATGTATATTCTTCCTGGGACAGACAGTGCCAAGCTGCTCTCCCAAAAAATATGCCTACTTGTACTTTAACAGTTGCTGAGAATGATTATTTCCTGTATCTTAATTACATTTTTGGACCATTTATTTGTTTATTTAGACAGGGTCTTGCTATGTAATCTAGGCTGGCCTTGAACTCATGGCAACCCTCCTGTCTCAGCCTCCCGAGTGGTGGGATTACAGATGTGTGCCACCACACTTGGCTATGGGCTATTTATTGAATTTATATTCAGAAAAGCATATATTGGTACATTTTAGTTATACATAATGATAGCATTCATCATGGGGAATATGCACCAGTACATGGTATACCTTGTTGCTTCGTTTCCCCCATCCATCCTTATGTACAAAAGCTTTGTTTCCATTTTTTCCTCCAATTGTCTTTTTTCTCATTTTTTTTCTTGTTCCTTCTTAAATTAGCACTATGTATTATCAAACATTTTGAACTTTGTCAACCTACATGGTAAAATTTTTTCATAAGTTTCAACTTGCTTTTCTTTTTCTCCTCTCCTTTTCTCTTTATTATTTTATATTATGCTTGGGATTGAACCCGTGACTCTTCTGCTGAACTCCTATGCAAAGTCCTTTTCCTTATTTTGTAAGTCCTCTGTCTCTTGTATATTTGGTTTTGCTTCTTAAAGAATTGGGCTGTTGGCTTTATACTTGTGGTTCAGAAGCCTTGATTTTGTATTAATCTCTTTATATTTTAGTTCTTTGTTCATAACCTGTCTTTCAACCTCCTGAAGTCTCATCTTTTCATTTGCACTTTGATAACATTTTAGTGCTTTTATTAGAGCTGAAATGTTAAATATCTACAAGTCAACATTATCAGTATTTTTTACTGATGACTTCTTAATTTTGTTTCAGTGAGGCAAGTTTTATCCTCTCCCAAGATGATCTAGAAAGATTGCTTCATTTTGTCCTGCTTTTCTAGTTTTTCTTGTTTTAAAAATGTATTTTCACTTGTAATTTCCTTATTTATTTTTGTTAAGGCATTTTTTCAATATGTAATGGTTGCATTCATTCAGGGGAATTGATACATTCACTCCTCATGTATCAGATCTTGATCATTTTCAATCCCTTTCCCCTCGTCTCTTACCTTCCTTCTCCCCGCTTCCCCTGATCCCCTTCCCTGTATCCAGAACATTTGCCTCCATTTTCTAACACCTCTTCTTCATTTTAGTCTTTGTTTCTGTTTTTGGTTTCTTATATAGGATAACCATGTGATATTTAGCTTTCTGTGTTTATTCCATTTAACATTAGGGTCTCATGATCTATTCATTTTCTTGAAAATGACATGATTGTCTTTTTTTCTCCTGATGAACTAGTTTGTTCAACAATATTTATTGAATCATCTATATGTCCTGTGTGATTTGAAATTTGCCTTATGCATTGCATTACATTGTTCTGTAGTTTCTGGTCTCTTTTGGGGAGTCTATGTTTGGGTTCACTGATGCCTCTTTTTCAGTACCAGATTCAAATTATTTTCATTAACGTACCTTTAAAAACTCTTCTAATGTCTGCTAAAAAAAGAAAAGGCCCAGAGGGCCCTCAGAAGTGTATTTCCCCCCCTGGTTGTCACCGAACTGGCAAGAATGAAAGCTAATTTTAGGTGGTAAGAATGCCTTCTTTTCTTCAATGTGGCAAGAAAGCTGAATGGAGCACAGGCTCCTCTTTTCTGTTAAGAAACTTCTTAAGAAGATCCTATTAGAATAGAAGCCATCTGTACTGCTTCAGTGCTTCTGATGCTATTGCCCTGCCTGCAGCCTCATAGGTCGAAATAAGGCTGCACATGAGTTTTTTCTAACAGGTGCGATAGAAGGAGCCAGAATTTGAATTTGCCAGTTTATGTAGGAGTCGGGAGATATACCATTTCTACTTAAAAAAACAATCATGGCAAAACGGAAAATGCAAATCAGAAAAAAAAAAATCCACCCTTAGCATGCGACTGCTGCCAACAATCCCATGAAATATTTAAGGAAATTCGGAAGCACAACAGGCATAGGGTAAGCTGTGCGGCAGACCCGTGGCCTGAACATGTACAGACCTAGCTCCTCTGGGCTCCGTCCTCACTACCCCGGGGCCTCCTGAAGTCGCCACAGGCACACTCAGTGGGAGGTTGGTATGAAGTTAATGTTTTCAGTGGGTGAGGTGTAGGAAGCGATAACAGATATTTAGACATTGTTTTCTTCTCTGCTTCTTTCTCAGATAATATTCCTGGCTCCCACAGGAACAGGCCTGCATTGTGCACCCTGCCCTCGGTGGCTTTGGTGAGGCTGCCATCTGAGGCCTGCTGGGACATTGTCTTTGAGGGGGAAGCACTCAGTTACTCAGAGAAGCAAACTTCCATGACCCTGTCCCGTGAGCCGCTTGTGTGGTCTGTGGGACGCCCTGGTCCCCTACTCCAAGCATCTGATGTTGCAGAATTCCTCAGACTTCAGGTGGTAAAGGTGATCAGAGCTTGAGGCTCACAGGCCCAGGGGAGCCCAACTCAGCATCACACATATTGGTAGACAGCCATCAGAACTGGGTGCCCTCTCTTCCCTTCTTAGAGACTGTACTGATGTGCGTCATTATTGAAGGGCAGGCAGGGAGAATGGGAGCACACTGCCCTGAGTGAATGAAGTTGATTTCTTTTTATTCAGATGAACAGGCAGTCACCTACCTTCATCCCAGTGCCACCTCAGCACCCTGTTCCGCCGTGCAGGCTTAACAACAGGTCCCGGGTGTTTCGCAGGGCAAAACGTATCTGTGAGTGACCTGGCCTTGGGGATGTCCTACTGGGTGCGGTGCTGAAGTCATGCCTGTCCCTAGCATTCCTATCCCAGGACTGCAAATATGACCATCCGAGGTGGCCCTGCCATATTCCCTCGTTCGGTCTGTACCCCTTTTAGATTTTTCTCTGTTGCAGAGCTTTTTATATACCATTGTCTTCCTGGAGTTTTCCACTTTGTCATCCTCTGGGGGGTCAGGGAAGGCAGGGACAAAAGATGAATATGTGGCATCCTTTTGCCCAGTAGCCCACAGGCTGCTCAATGTCCTTAGCTCCAGCCACCCTCAGCCCACCAAAGAGGGCTCCTCTCAGCTGGGATATGGATACCCACCCCCCCGTGGCTGGTGAGAAGATACTTGTACGTAGCATTGAGGACACTTGTGGCTGCGTTCCTTTACTGAGTGCTCATGACGTGCCAGGCATTGCTGTAGACCAACAGTCCCCATCCTTTTAAGCACAGGAGACTATATAACTGGAAGACAATTTTTCCACAGATGACTCAAAGGAGCGTTCAGTCTAGATTCCTCAAATTTGCACTTCACGGTAGGATTTGCTCTCCTACAAGAATCTAATACCCTTTGGTGGGGCTCAGGCTATAAATACAGGTGAAGCTTTGTTTGCCAGCTTCTTACCTCCTCCTGTGTGGCCTGGTTCTGGCCATTGACTGCTATGGGTCTGTTTAACAGGGGTTGGGGGCCCTTGCTTTAGACCGTAGATATATTACTTCATTCAGTCCCCACAAATCTGTGAGTCTGTTTTTAGTGTCCCTATCTTAGTATTCAGGGAGCCTAAAAAAGGAAACTTACTCTTAATAAAATCCCAGTAACTGTTGATGTGGCAGCCACTTGTCCTGGCTTCTGAAACCAAATATGCACATCTTTTTCTGCTCCTACACACAGGAACAATGCAGTGGCGAATTAAAACTGGCCACAGTGGACGTATTTACCCTCTGGAAATTGGTAAGCATTGTAAATCAGATATTTTCCTTTTCTCTTTTCTTTTTCCTGAAGAGCTCACCTCATTACCATAGCTACTAATGTGTAACCCCTACTCCCAGGGAAATAACCTTAGACTTGGCCCCACTAAAATCAATATAAAAAAAGGTACTCTCTTAAATATTTTCTTAATTGAAGAAACATATCTCCCTCCCCTCCGTCTTGATGTCACCACACTGGTAATAAAATCTAGTCAGGGCAGAGGTGTACTTCAGTGGGCTTTACCTGCAAGGATCCTTAGAGGGGATCTATGATCTGTGGCAAAAGGCTTGGAGATCCAACGTACCACTTGGAAGCCTATGTATAATTAATTTGTCATCACTAGGGAATGGGATTTCATTGTGCCCTCCCACAGCCCTTTGCTGACGGGGTCCTTGGAAATGGTGCCCAATAATCAGATCAGTTGAGGGAAACCATGGAAACAGAAGATCATTCCAGCTCCAGGAGAGGCTGGGGAAGAAGTGTGTAGGGCAGAGGGGAATTAGGGTGGGATAATGTGTAGCTACCTGGATCCTGGTTCCAGTTCCTTGTTGAACATTCTGCAGGAACTAGGAAAGTCACTTGGCATCTCTATTCTTTTCCATAAATTCAGGGTAATTTGACTTACAATGAGCCCCGTCTAGTCCACCATTGGTGTACACAAATTCTTTGTTCACAGAATTCTCTGAAGACTATAATGCATTGCACAAATGCCACTACAGTACCATGATTTTCCTGTTATGTTTTCATTTTAGCATAAAACAAAGATGTCTGCTGTAAGGGAAGAAAGCTGACTTCCTGTTTGCATGAAATGGAAAAGAAGAAATGAATTATGTGTCTCCCATCAAATGTCTATGGGAGATATTTAAGGGTTTTTATTTGTTTGTTTGTTTGCAGTGCTGGGATGGGACCCAGAGTCTTGTGCATGCAAAGCAAGCACTCCACCACTGAGCTACACTCCAGTCAAGACTTGTAATTATTGACTCTCAGTTCTGTGCTGCTTCTATAACTTGCACATATTTCTTAAGCTTGTTTGAAATTACAAATTGAGCATCCTTTATCTGAAACCCCCAAATCCAAAATATGCCCACTGGAAACTTTTTATGTGCTGCTATGACTCTGTAAGTGGAAAATTCTACATTTGATCTCATGTCATGGGTCATAATCAAAATGCAGGTACACTAAAAGTATTGTATAAAATTACTGTCGGGCTATGTCTACAAGTTGTATATGAAACATACAAGAAGAATTCTATACTTAGCTTTAGGTCCCATCAAGATATCTCTGTCTCTATCCTTATCCCTAACCCCCTCTCTGACTTTATCATCTCTATTTCTCTCTATCTCTAGTCCAAAATCCCAAACCAAAAAAATTTGAAATCTAAAACACTTTTGGTTCCCAACATTTCAGATAGGGGATATTCAGTCTGTCTGTACTGATTATCATCTTTCCGGTCCTTTACAGTCGATGAGATGTTTGAAGGTAGGGCTCAAACTGCATCAATTCAACAAACATTCATTGTGACCTTCTGTGTGCTTCCAATGAGATCAGAAGAGGATGAAACAAACTTCATCTCTGATAGAGACTTCCTAGAAGGAAGATGGCAGGGAGGAAGCTAGTGCGAAGTATCAGAAGATAGGGGATGACGGAGTGCTTGCTTATAATCGGTACTAAAGACCAGACTGATACTACAGTGGGCATTAAAAAAGGAAGGGCTTGTAGGGGACTGGAGAGCAGATGGACATAGTCAGGGCTAAAGATGGCAGGGACGTCAATCATGACTTTACAGGGAAAAGCTCAGTAGAGAAACAGCCCCTATGCTTTATGAACTGGAATTTTTGATACATTTGGAATATTGAAAGGAGACCCCTGGGCTATGGGAGCAATGAAAAGATGTGAGTGAGATTAGAATTCTTCAAAGCAAGGGGAGCAACATAGCTAAAGAAAGCGCAGTATGCTGTGCCTGGTGGTGCACACCTGCGATCCCAGCTACTCGAGAGGTTAAGGCAGAAGGGTTGCAAGTGTGAGACCAGCCTGGACAATTTAGCAAGATCCGTCACACAATAAAATATAAAAAGGACTGAGGATGTAGCTCAGTGGTAGAACGATGCCCTAGCATGTGTGAGGCCCTGGGTTCAACCTTTAGAACTGGGGGGAAAAAAAAAGCAAGCAACCACAGTATACCTCAACGCTGAGCTGTGCTGAGTGATGAGGCGTCTACAGCCCCTGTGTAACTTAGGCTATCAGTAGAAGAAGGGACTGGACCGTTAAGGGTTCCAGGTGCTTTTCTCTGACCCTCAGGCTTGGGATAGCTGCCTTGGAAGGAACATGCTGTGCCTTGAGAGCTGCATGCTTTCAAAATGACCACTGGCAGCTGGTTGCTTGGTCACACCACTTGAGATGCAACCCTAGGCCCTGGAATCTTCATGTTTGGTGCCTTGGACATGCTGAACAAGCCAGACACACAGAGAACATCATTCCTCAGCTTTCACACTCCCCAAAGCTGGCAGCAGGCTTTGAAAACCTGGTTGCCCAGTAGTCCAAACACCTCACTGCATGGTAGTGTCTTGTCTTTCAAGCAATTAAAAGAGCAATTTGGTGATTGTGTCTTAGAGGAGCTTATCAGCATTGGATCAGTGCTGGGTCATAACGGCTATGAAGTTGCTTAAATCTGAAATTATATCCTTCTGCAAGAGTACATTGGTGATGGCCAGAGGTATTTATAGAATAGGTATCCATACACAGTCATGTAATGAAGAGAATGTGAATTTGCCATGTGTTCCAGAAGAATCCCTTGGCTTTCCAACTGAATTCTTGCTCTTTGGCTCTAAAGCAGTGTGCCTTTAGGATGACACTTTCCATACCACATTCAGTCATCTCTGATCATGAGTCTCCCTCCCCTTACTAACCTGGAACTCCTCAAAGACAAAGAGTATTCTTTTCTCAGCTTTGTACCCCCTCTTTGCATCGTGCTTTGATTATTGGTTGTGTTCCATCAACATGTGAGTAACAGAATTAAAGTAGGCCATAGAGCAGGCACATCTCTCCTTCTAGCCACTTGGCTTTCTGCTCCCTGAGCCTAGCTGTGTAAGAACTTGAATCCTTCAGGAAAGAAATGGTAGAAAAATGACCCCACAGCCCATTTCCTTGGCTTTGAAGTAGGATATGCAGCATGTGGAAAATGTGCAGCCTGCAAGCCTGGGTATTCTTTTCCCAGAAGGTGGTTTCTCATGGAGGCAGGCAGATCTATAGACTCTATCTGTCTTTGTGGCCTCTTTGGGAAGAGCCAGTTGTCTCAGTTGGCTACATCTTGAAATGCTGATTTTGGTACACATAGCTTCCTGCCAGAGGCTGGTGTGCCTCAAGATTATCTCTTGCTTTTGATGGCTGGAGCCTCTTCTTTGAAGACACCTGCCCCCAGATTAAAGTGTCTTCCCCTTGGTGTTGAAGATAATCTTTCTCATTAGGAACAAATTATGGGCTTGCACGTCTGATTTCATGCAGCAGTGATGAAAGGAAATCATAGAAAAATAGAATGAGTATTTGTACAGTTGGCTTTCTGTATCTGCAGATTCCACATCCATAGATTCAGCCAACTGCAGGTGGAAAATATTGTTTTAAAATTGCTTTTGTATGGAAAATATACAGATTTTCCCCTCACGATATAGCGGGACACTTATCTATATAGCGTTTACATTGTTATTAGATATAAGTAGTCTAGAGATAACTTTGAATGCATGGAGGATATACCTAGGTTCTATGCAAATCCTACTCCATCATATAAAAAGGATTTGAGCATCTTTGAATTTTGGTATCCTGGGGGTGCTGGAACAGATCTTCAGCAGATACTGAGGGAAGACTGTATATTGAATGACTTTATATGCATGAAGAATTTCTTAGCTAAACCAGTGACATGATGTATGCTTATATGTATGTATACATGTGTATATGTGGACATTGACTTTTTGTAATCATACAGACTTTTTCCTTCAAATGAAATCATTGTACCAAACTCAGCTTGGAGCTGAGAGTGTTGGGATAGGAGAGGTGTAGTGGTTAGGGTGTATGCAAAGAGGCTGTGGCCACTGGCCCATTTGTCTCCCCTTTAAGGCCGTAGGAGCCTGTGCATAAAATCCAAGTATATCTGGGACCTCAGTCTGCAAATCACTAATGTTAAGAAGCCCTACAGTTATTCAGCTATTATAATTTAACATGTTTTAAAACGTGTAACTTACAGTTCTCATGAACCATGTTCTCCTCAGGATTCTACATCAGTAATTTAGGTATTAAGGAAGACTTTTTTGCCACACCTAGATGTCCAGAGGTGTGAGCTCTTTCTTCCCTGTCCAAGAAGAAAAGAAGAAGGCTTTGAGGGGCTGGCATCTCTCCACAAACCCCCTAAGGAATGAGGCCGCAGCATTAGTTTGTCCATGTGCATTTTGGACAGGGGGAAGAAGCATCTGCTGACCCACTTGAGGGCCCCTGGAGAAGAGGCTTCATTCAGTGGGTATCCAAACACAGAGTGTTCGGTCTTCAGGAGAGGGATTCAATGCACTTGTGAGAATCTCCTGCTGCCTCGATCCCCACTGACTGTACCAGAGAAACTTGTCCAAGGACAAAACGCTACAGCTGCTGAAAACTGGGAAGTGAAATGTTATCAAGCCTGAGTGCTAAGGAATTCCTGTAAAACTATGAGAACAGGAAGGACCGGGTAGCTTTAGAATGAGCCTGTGTGAGGAGAAAGGGGAGGAACTCCGCAGAGACACCTTCCAAGGTGGGGGTCGCAGGACCTGCGAGTGAGCATAACGAGGGGGCTGTCTGTGATTTTCATGGGCTGGATTGGGTCTCCCTTGCTCCCCATATTTGTTTATTGAGTCCTAATCTGTGATACTTCTGAATGTGAAAGTGAAACGTGAAAGATTCTATTTGAAAATGGGATATTTAAGGAGGTAACCAAGTTCAGGTACCATCATCAAAGTGGGCCCTAACCTAATATGATTGATACTACAGAAAGGGGTTATTTGGATACAGAGAAACAAGGAGAACACCATGTGGCCGTGAAGACAGCCATCTAGGAACCAAGGAGAGGACCATGGAACAGATCCCCTCCTCATAGTTCTTAGGGAGAGCTGACTCTGCCACCATGTTGATCTTGGATTTGTATCCTCCGTGAGATGGTAAATTTCTACTGTTTAAAGCCTCCCAGGGCGGAGAACTTTTACAGAGCGAGGGAAGTGGAAAGAAATACTGATTCTGAAGCTCACGATGCAGTCAGTGGAACACTCCAATGGGCTCAAGAACTGGCTCCAGCTGCCCCTACTGCCCAGCAAAGGGGAGCTTGGCTCTTTCCATGCCCCAGGGGCCCCACCTGACCTCATCAACTGAATATATTTCCAATCTTGCTAAACAAGATGATCCTCCGTCTGGCTAAATGGAAGTCTTTCTGCTTTAGTTGTACATCTCATCTCTCAGCCAGCACAACCCAAAGGGATAGAATCCTGAGCCCCAAATCTTAGAGTACTGTGGCTCTTTCGGAGCGTGTTCTTGAGGGGAGGCAGAGTGTGTGTGATGTTAAAAAATTCTTGATTAACGGGGCCTCTCTTTCTCTCCATTTCCCTCTCTCCTCCAGCCTGGTCCTGTAGTTCTACTGGGTAGTAGCTGTTCTAGCATCTTCCCTCTCTGCCTTTCTCACTTGAAAAAATCCCAGCTGCACTAGTTCTCTCCTGCTTTCCTTTTCTGCTCAAGCTCTCTACACTTCCTTCCCCATTTTGTGTGCTTCCTCCTTTTGGTGATGGTATGTTCTCTGTATGTAGATGAATTTAGTTTCTCTTAGCTTTTGCTATTGTCCTCTCCAGGCTTTGTCATGGTAAGATCAACGCTGGCAGAACCAGGAGTTATCCTAACCAGGCTAGTGAAGATTCCGCGCTCATTTCTTTTTTAAAGACTTTTAAAAAATTATTTATTTGTTTATTTACTTTGCTGTATAAAAGAAATCATGTGATATCTAAGTGTGTGTGTCTGATTTATTTCATTTAAGATTTGGTCTCAAGTACATCCACTTTCCTACAAGGGATCATAGCACAGTACTACTTCACTGTGTACAAATACCACACTTTCTTTAACCATTCACCTGCTGATGGATGTATAGGCCTCTTCCAAGATTTA